TTCCCTTACATCTCGTATCCGCAGGACCGACTGCTGAAAATCAAACACAACGTTCGACCGCGTGGGTTACGGAATCCCGATGCAATTCGAATTCCCAGCCTCTCCACGTCTCTCATAGGGCAGTGGTTGGAGGAGTGAGGTCCCGAAACTTGGAAATGGGACATCTGGTTGGCCTCAGTTGAAGCTGACCTTTGGGAAGCCCCCAGTCCCTCTGAGCCTCCCTTGCTGATGTAAGTAAGTAGCCTGCCCTCCAGTGCCTGGGAACTGGTGTTCCACTGCCGGAGCACTCATTACCTCACTTGGGCTGGTACATTCGAGGGGACACCATTGTCCTTGAGACCCTCCGCAACTACCCCATTGCCATTGGACCCCAAATTAGTATCAAATAACTAAATGCTCCATGAGGACAGACACAGAGTCTGACCTAGGAGGAAAAAGGTCACACACCAATAAAAATTTCCAATACTTGACTGATATCTACCAGCTCTACCCCATTTGTGGGAGTCGATTCTCAGGGTGTTAGACTGAGGAGCTGGGCTACAACTTCCAATGGGGCTGGATTTACTGATGCGGTATACTTACTAGAAGGTCCAGTTTGTGTTAGCACATACGGCTGGTGGGAAGCTTAGCACCTCACTTGGTTGACCTAAACTTGGGGTCTCTAGTTGTTTGCATTTCATTCGTTTTGATGCCAGAGCCGTCCTGGCATCAGGTGGAGGAGGGAATCCAAAGGCTCAGGGAGAGAGAAACTTTTGAGATTGACCACATTTGACCTGAACACTCCATCCCCTTGACCATGTTCCATGAGAAGTTCCAGAAGCAGCTCTTTTCAATGAGGCATCCAGCGCTATAGAGTGGAGACACCTGTCTTCGAAAGGGTCTGAAGACATCACGGTGTCTTTAGGAAAGAGACAGGTGGCCTGCCACAGCACCGCCTGGTCTATAACCCCAAATGCTCTAGGTCTGGGAGCCCTACATGGTACTTGAGGTGCCCCAGTGGCATGTCACAGTTCGTTTGCAGACCCAGAGGCCTTTGATGAAATGGGAGGTTGGGTCGCCTGGGAAGGCCTCTGCGCCACTGCTGGACATGCACACCACAAATGTTCCCAAGCTTTCCAAAAGGGACCTACGGCCATTTAGTAAAGTGACCGGTTGTCTTGATGAACAGTACTGCTTGAGCATTTACTCCTTGGCGGGTCCAAGACACGGGGAAGACTTTGTTACTTCCTGCTGTTCCCACCTCCAGAAGGCGTGGCAGACACCTATGGTTGACAGAACCTTCCCTGGTGACTAGCCCCAGCTCCGCCCACCTCTCCCGGATATTGTGCTGGTGCGTAGGGGGAAGGGGGAACCATGGTTTACAAAGAACCCCGCAGACACGCTCAGAAGGCGCTGGAGCGCATTGGGCCGGCAAGGAGTGTGTTTGTGTGTGTGTGTGTGCGTGTGCGTGTGGAGGAGCACATTCTGGACCCCAGGAGCGCGGAGCAAGGTCTTTAATGGCGGGGCAGGCGACAGAATGACCATGCTTTTTTGCCATCCGAATGGGGTCGCAGCCTTCTCCCCTTCTCCAAGTCATCATGGGGAGCACAGCGTCTCTTTCCTCTGCCCGGTGGAACAGGCCCTGAATCTCTGTGGAGGCGTGTCCTCGGCCTCTCTCCCAAGGGACATCTCTCATTCAGGGACATGGAGCGGGGCTCACAGCTACTCAGGTTTTGGACTCTTCGGTTAGGGCAGGGGGTGGTGGCGTGGATCCCGCTCCGGTCGCACCGTCGACAAAGGAATACAGGGCAAGGCTCCAGGCACAGCCCGTCCCCTCCTGGCCCTGGAGCCCAGAGGGAGGCACGAAGAATATATTCTGGGCCCCGCTACTTCCCAGGAAAATGCGCGTGACCGCTGTGAGCCCCACTTGGGGGTACTTGACTTCTCTCAACACTAGGAACACACGTCATAGTTACAGCAAAGCCTGGGGCCAAGTTCTACGCCCATGATGGCCAGACGGAAGCGGCCTTCTGGTGTCGATGTGGCGAAATCCCATTCGCCAGTTGGCTCCAGCGGTCCGGTACTAAACCGCTTCCTTGCTTTGCGCATGTGTCTGGTTCAGCCCGTACCCATGCGCAGAACACCAGCGCATCTATGGTCTGGGAGTGTGACAGAGCGTCTCCCCGCCCTCACGGGGACTCTATGGTTACTACTTGTGAAGACAGACCGACTATATAAGGCCTACGTAGGGGCGGGAGCGCCTCTTTTTCTCTGGCGTGGTGAGTAAGTGCTGATCAAAGCTCGTCCGGTGCCCTTGGTATTTGTCTACTGTCGTTTGAGGCCTGTCTTCATCTTCTGTTCCGGTTTTTCTGTTTCATTGTAGCCACCGAAGATCCTTGTGCCATCATGGGCCGCCGACCCGCGCGATGGTGAGTGCCGAATCCATCCAGTTTCGCTGCTGTGGGATGAAGGAGAGAATTGCATTTGTCCCATGAAAGCAACCGTGGGGTGGGGCCACCCTAGTGTGGCTTTCTCCTTTGAAGGATCTTCCCGGGTACCTTCCCGGTTCGCTTAGGTCTTGATTTATGTCATGTTTCTTTTTGTTAAAACTTAATTCCGCTCTTGAAGCCCTCCTCCCCTGTTTGTTACATTGATGTTGGACTGCGTGTGCTGTGCTATTTTCAGGCTGGAAGTGACGTCCGCCTTGCATCCCTCCCTCTGTCTTGGAAATGGGACTCCTTTTCAGGCTGTCTTCTCTGGGTCTTTGTGTGCCATTCTTGTCTTTTCCTGGCTACGTGCCATGGGGGTTCGGATGCGTCGCGTGGCCTGCAGGGGGCGCGAGGACTCCTTCACGTGGCTCGTAGGCGACATGCCACGTGCCCAAAAGTCTTTAGGGTGGACTGCGTGACCTTTGCTGTTAGGCCTGCGGCCGATTTGTAGTCCGCAGTGCCTTGAAGTGACAGATGTTTTTAACTGGGAAAGTCCGTTTCCAGGTGTTGGCCTTATTGGAAGCTTAAAACCCAATAAGGCGTCAAGATATTTTTGCTTTTATGTTTCTCACATGGTCGTCCTGTAACTCTGGGCCACTTTCTTTTTGACTGTCGTGCTTTAGAGCCAATTTCCAGGAATGGAGGCGGGTTATAGATTAACATGTGTCACCCCCCACACACCATTCCCATCCCTCCTTTGGTCTCGAAGGGAGCTCTCAGTGCCTATTGTCAAGGTCCCTTGTGGACCCCCGCAAACCTGGGTTTTTCCCCTCCCTGCAGTTACCGGTATTGTAAGAACAAGCCGTACCCAAAGTCTCGCTTCTGCCGAGGTGTCCCTGGTAAGTAGTGGAAGAGCGCCCCAACTGGTTTGGCTCTGCTGACGCAACCGCCCGTGGCCCTCCACACAACTTACCCTAGCTCTTTTCAGATGCCAAGATCCGAATCTTTGACCTGGGGCGGAAGAAGGCAAAAGTGGATGAATTCCCACTCTGCGGCCACATGGTATCAGATGAATATGAGCAGCTCTCTTCCGAAGGTAAGGTGCAGAGCTCCTTGTTAATCTCATCTCGTTCTTCCTCTGTGCTCCCCCAGCCAAATCTGGAGCCCACTCTACCAGAATTACCGGTTCATTAATCATGGGCACCCAGTTGAAACTCTTAATGAAACTCACCCAGGCAATACAGATGTTCCCTGAGGGAACATCTATGTTCCCTCTATGCCTCCTGTCTCATCCTGTTGCTTTACTTTTCCCCACCTAGCCCTGGAGGCTGCCCGCATCTGTGCCAACAAGTACATGGTGAAAAGCTGTGGCAAAGATGGCTTTCACATCCGAGTGCGGCTCCACCCGTTCCATGTAATTCGCATCAACAAGATGTTGTCCTGTGCTGGGGCTGACAGGTGAGCTATATTCTGGGTCTCGAGTGTTTTCCCATAACTTGAGAGTCTCTACGATGGACTTGATTTTTATATCAGGGCGAAGAGGGGGTGACCCTAAATAAAGACTCAACCGCCGATAGCAAAGCCAGGCCAGTGGCTGGCAAGGTTTCGATTGGATACTTGACTCCCAGAAACAAACACAAAAGGGCGTTAGCTGGGGGGAGGTCCTCCTGAGGGAGTAGCTTTGAGGCCGATGACAGCCATCTGCCAGAAAGTAGGTTGCTGGGGCAGTCGCATTTTGGGAGGAGGGGCTTTCAGATGAGCCCAGTGGCCCCTTAACAGGGATCCTGGCAAGTCTTAAGTCACTGCAGCCACTTAAGCCGACTGTGCTCCTTTCCCCATAGGGGCCTGGTGTGCAATGGCTGCAAACAGCAGCATCCTTGGTAGTGTGCGCAGCCTATTGTCTGTATGGGTTGTTCTAAGGGACCTTGGAGACAGGACTTTTCTGGTGGATACTCATGTCTGACCTCATGCTATTTCTAATCTAGACTCCAGACAGGTATGCGTGGTGCCTTTGGAAAGCCCCAGGGCACAGTGGCCAGAGTCCACATTGGCCAGGTAATTATGTCTATTCGCACCAAGCTGCAGAACAAGGAGCACGTGATTGAGGCGCTACGCAGGGCCAAGTTCAAGTTCCCTGGCCGTCAGAAGGTAAATAGCGCTGCAGCTTTGATGTCCTGCCTTTCCTCGGCCCGAAACCCAGGCATCCTGACTCAACCCTTTTTCTTTCCACAGATCCACATTTCCAAGAAGTGGGGCTTTACTAAGTTTAATGCGGATGAGTTTGAAGACATGGTGGCTGAAAAGCGGCTCATCCCAGATGGCTGTGGGGTCAAATACATCCCTAATCGAGGCCCCCTGGACAAATGGCGGGCCCTGCACTCATGAGTCTTAACGATGCTCTCCCCCCACTCTTCCACTAATAAATCCTTATTTCTGTCTGTCTCTGCCTCTGGGTTCATGGAGGAGGGGGGAGCCTCTGGGAACCCCAGCGTCACACTATCCTTTCTCTTCCAAAAAAGGCTGACAGTTTAGCAGAGCCACTGAGCAAACACCCATAGGGCTTGACAAAAGAGACCTTCGGATAGATGCTATGCAGCTTCCCTCAGCCCGTGGATCCTTGTGTGCCAGGGCTACTCTTCTTGTAAGAGCAGTGTTAGGTTCCGGAGGTGTCCTTGGGGAGCGAGCCGAGGCAAGAATAGGCCCCGAGGGTGCTGCTAGGTGGGTTGGCTTGAGGCACTTGGAGAAGAGCCTGGAATGCATGCAGCGCTTCCTCCCTCCCGCCCCTGAGATGCCCCCTGGCTTTGTAATTTTTACAGCCATTTCTGAAGTTGAAAAGTACCTTTGTTTTTGGCCTCAAGGAGATTCCTCTAAACCATAAGCATGACTAA